CAGGTGGGGGTGACACTGAACAACCTGGCCGTGCTCTATGGCAAGCGCGGGAAGTACAAAGAGGCCGAGCCCCTCTGCAAGAGAGCCTTGGAGATTCGTGAGAAGGTGAAAGCCCGTCGGCAGGAAGGAAGAAACCAGTCACCCCCCCAACCCGTCTTCAAGTGGGGTCCTGGACCCTTTGCGATGGTCCAGTTTGCTTGACTGTCTTGCTCCTGCAGGCTGTGGGGAGGGCCATGGAAATCCACCTCTTCCCTCTTTCTCTCTCTCTTGAAAGGTATTGGGCACGGATCATCCAGATGTGGCCAAACAACTGAACAACCTGGCCCTTTTGTGCCAGAACCAGGGCAAGTTTGAGGAGGTGGAGCACTATTACCAGCGGGCACTCCGCATCTACCAGACCCGTCTCGGCCCGGATGACCCCAACGTTGCCAAAACCAAGAACAATCTGGTAAACATGGAGGATTGGTGTGTGTGTGTGTGTGTGTGTTTGCCAAGAACAATCTGGTAAGCATGGAGGATTGGGGTGTGCGTGCATGCGTGCGTGTGTGTGTGTGTAAGAGGATGATATCACCATAAACTGTTCTGTAGAGGAATAATCAGGATCATTGTAAAGACCTCCAGCTTTCTACAGTTTGCTATGACTGCCATTCTTGTGTCTATTTCGCACATCATTTGAGGATGATATCACCATAAACTGTTCAGTAGAGGAATAATCAGGATCGTTGTAAAGACCTCCAGCTTTCTGCAGTTTGCTATGACTGACATTCTTGTGTCTATTTCGCACATCATTTGTTAGCCTATTTTTATGTACAGTATAATAGCTCATTATGAGTTTTTTCTGATTCTGTAAGCACACGTACTATAATGCATGAAGCATTTGTAGCCTTTTGACCATGGCCGCAGGTTGACTTCCATTCTTGAACTGTTTATCCTGCCCTGACGCAGCTGACCAAAGAAATGAAACAAAGCTGCCACTCCAAGGATCAAGGGGGAAATGTGATCAAGCCGTAGGAACAAGGGAAGAATAGCAAAGAATAGCAAAGCCCGGCAACGCAGAAGCAAAAGAACACCCAGGGAGAGGTTTAGCCTGTTCTGGTGGAATTTGCACCTTGAATGGAAAAACTGTACAGAGTTAGTCAACGAGGCAGGCCAACCAGGAGAAGGGGTTGCACAGAGGCAGCGCCACCACCACCAAGAAGGACCTGCTCTGAGGAGACCCCCTGGCACAGTAGGGGCTGTTGGGTTGCCCTCAACACACCGTAGTAGTTCACATCTTCTGACTCCGTTGGATTTCAGAAGCCAAGAAGGGTTGGGCCTGATTAGAATTCAGACGGAAGACCAGGAGTCTCCTGTCTGAGACCTGCAAGGGCAGCTGCCGCTCAGATCTGACCGTGCTGGGCTAGGAAGACCAGGGCACTGTCTAGATATAAGGCGGCTTCGCACGTTGCGAGCTCCCGTCCTTGAGCCCTCCTGTCATTGCTGGGAAAAAACGAGAGATGAGGCCGCCCAGAGGCTGGGACACTCAGAGGCCCAATGGCCGAGTCGGCCGCCTGAGCGCCCTCTAACCCAGCACCCTGCTCTCCTTTCTCCCTCGCCAGGCCTCCTCTTACCTCAAGCAGGGCAAGTATCAGCAGGCGGAGGAGTTATACAAGGAGATCCTCTCTTCCCACGACCAGGAGCTGGCCGTCGGCCGGGGCGGTAAGAGGCCGGTGGGCATGGAGGGGCTGCTTGGTGGGTATGGAGGGGCTGCTTGGGTCGCTCCCCAAAGAGCCCATAGCCGAGGGGCAACGCAGGGTCCTGGTGGTGCATTTTGGCACGCTGCTTCTGTACAGCCGGAGCGCCCACTGAAACAGGATCTTAGTCCCACCCCTCAACTCTTGCTTTTTGGGTTTTTATTTTTACTTATTTTTTGTTTTTGCTTTTCCCAGATGAAAGCAGAACAGGAATCGGGAGAAGTGCTCCAAAGGACCAGGTGGGGTTTGGACTCTTCTGGAAATGGTTTGCATTTTGCATTTTCCCTCCGGCGAACCTTCTTTCCGGACGCTGCTGCTTCCCATCCCTTAGGAATGGTGGTTGGGAGCCTTTGGGAGGCAGTGAGGCGACCCAGACCCTCTCTAGAAAGAATTTCAGCCAGAAAGTGCCCATTCTCCTGTTCAGAAGGGCTGATCTAGGGGAGGTTGTAAGCGTAGGGTCAAAGGACAGGCAAGGTTTCCAAGACCTGGAGGCTCCCCACCCCAGGCTCTGAGTTCCATCTGAACTGGAGAAGAACTGCTAGATTCTCAGGGCCTCTGCTCCATATCTATGGCTTGGTCGCACGATAAAGGGAAGGAGAGGATGCAGCAGTCCCCAAGACAAAAGCGATCAAGGGAAGCAACCCATGGAGGGCGATGCTCCGCTTTACTCCCATCTCTACAGGACAAACTAACAGAGCGGCTTCACCTCTACTGCCCTGTATACCCTCCAAAATGCATCTGGTCATGCCTGCTTTTGGAAGCTAAGCAGGGGCCAGCCTGGTTAATCCCTGGATGGGAGACCACTATGGAAATCTCCAGGAAAGGAACTGTGCCGAAAACCCTGGAGGACCAGATGCTGCTGCCAGCCCGAGTTGGCCGCGCTGGTCTCGATGAATGCACTTAAGGGATCGGACTGAGCTGAAAAGCTATGTTCCTGCACTTGGAGGAGGGCCTAGGAGTGAAAGGGGCGAGCGGTTCTTTCATGCCCGTTCTCACCTGTCTCAGCAGCTCTGGAGAATTAATTACTAAACGCTTGCCAGTTTTGTGGGAAATTGGTTTCCTATTTGAATCTTGCTTTCTTCCCCAGGATGGCGCAGGGAGCCTCCGACGGAGCAGCTCCTTCTCCAGGTTCCGGGAATCCATCCGGCGGGGCAGCGAGAAGCTGGTCTCCAAACTCAAGGGGGAAGGGATCCGGCGCACGACGGCACCCCCAGCCACAGGGTAAGCCCACCTCCCTCGGAGTGATGTGTGTGTGTGTGTGTGTGTGTGTGTGTGTATACGGGGGTGGTGGTAAGGGACTAATTCTTTACTGACGGGTGGATCTGGCTGAGAGACAGGAAGCAGGTGGGGTTTTATTTGCACAGTGACTCCTAGATTCTGACACCGGGCCTGTCCATGCTCACGCTAGCTGCGGGATTCTCGGGAGCTGTTCTCTGAAAGCCAAGTTTTCCCATCCCTGGTTTGTCTGATAAGCCGCCTCTCTCCCAAAATGGGGTGGGGAGGGGACTCGAGGCACCCTTTGCTTTCAGGGCATGGCTCCTTCCCTCGCACTCATCTCCACCCCCACCCCCACCCCCCGTCCTCTTGAGCCTCACGGCTGCCTCTCTTTCGACAGGATGAAGCGGGCCACCTCCCTCAACGTCTTGCATGTGGGAGAGTCCACGCCTGCTGCGTCGCCCACGGTGAGTCTCGGCCCCCAGACGGCAGAATGAGAAGGGGACACTCCGGGGTCATCTAGTCCAACCCGCTGGGCAGGGACAGGGAACCCACCGCTACCTTATTCCAGGCAAGGTGGCCCTGTAACCCCCTGTCGGAAAACCTCCGAGCGTGGAAGGCCAGTCCCCTTCTGAGACAGGAGGGTGAGGCTCAACTGTCCAGGAGCATCTTCCTCATGTTTAGCCAGATGATCTTGCCGTCTCAGCGTCTCCCTCCGAGTCGGGAGGGGGTCCGGAAGAGCTTTTCTGGCCCACGAGACCGGGAAGCCAAGGCTAGTGACGAAGGCCTGCCTCACCCATCGTGCTGCCCCGAGACACGGTCTGCTCGAGGCAGAGTAACGAACGGCCCCTGGGCCCATTCAAGGAGCACGTCCCCCCCCCAAAAATGGGCCCTGGTTCTCTTGGCACCTTGTGATACGCTGGGGTGTGGGGGGAGCGGGGGGTGGTCTTTTCATTCACCAGGGTTTCCCAGGAAGATAACAGGGTGGGGAGGGAAGAGGCCCCTTGTGAGCCCTAGAAACCTGAGTGACTCGTTCCATAGCAGGCGAGGGAAGTGGCCGCCTCCCTTTTCTCTTTTCTCCCCTTCCAGCCCACCAGGAACCTGATCGGCGCCCGCAGCCTCAGCTCCAGCACCCAGGACCTCTTGCACAGCCACTCCTCCACCTAGGACGGGCGGGGCTCTTTCCTCCGGCCCCTTCCTCGCCCGGCGCGCTTGCTGCCTGAGGCCTCCCTCCCTCTGCTTCCGTTGCTGGATCTCGCCTTCGACGTGGCTCCTCGGGAGAGGGCTTGGGGACCCCCCCCCCGTGCGCCATCCGGAGGAGAGCGAGGTGGCTGGCTGCAGCTCTGGTCATGGAGACCACCAGCTCTGGTCTGCCTGAGGAGTCCCCCCCCCGCCCGGCCCCATCCTCACCTTTCCTCCCTCTGGGAAGGACCTGGGGCTGGCTGGGAAGCTCCCCTGCGGAAGAGGACAGAGACTGCGATGTCTCAGGAAGTTGGGGAGGCAGGGGGCACACACGCACACCCCCCGCACCACGTAAGCAGCACAAACACGAGGGGGGGCCTCCGTCACCCTCGCGACTGCCTTAAGCCCTCAGACTTCAGGGTCCTGCTCACTTGCACTCGTACATCGCCTGCTCGGGCAGAACGGCGTCTGCTGCAGCTTCCTCCGTCCAGCCTAAGTCTCTATTTATTCTTATTTATGCCATAGGAAGCGTAGCATTCCCCCCCCCCGCCGCCGCCCTGCTGCAAAAATAGTGGTGTTGTTTCTTAATATTTTTTATAAAAAGGTGGTTGTAAGCAGAGACAGCGTCTTGGGGGAGTACTTTGCATGAGCTCCGACCGTGTCGTGGGAGAGACGACGCCTTTGCGGGCATCCTCGGGGCCTGCTCTGTCAAGGGGAGAGGTCGACTCTTTTGCAAAATGGGGCTCCTCTCCATCCCTTCAAAAGTCAAACAGCTTCTCCCCTCTGAGGCCCGAAGGGCACCAACGGCGACGACACGGCCCCCCACCCGCTTTGCACAGCAAAAGAGCGCCGCCCAGATTCTCAAACAAAAGGACCCTCAAACCAAAAACACTGTCGTTCTTTTTTTTAATTAAAAATCCCAGTTCAAAATCTAGAGTGAAACATATCCCACCCACCCTCGTGCTTACAGTCTTTTTTTTTAGTGCACCGTGGGACAAAAGCTCGGGTCGGCTGTCAATTGTTTTCCAGCTGCTGGTATGCCGTGAGGCAGCCGCCGAAGGAGAGAAGGGCTCTTCGCTTTGAACTTCTCCTCCTCCGGCTGCAGGGGGTAGAAGGTGGGAACGGAGAGTCCCCCCCGCCCCTGGTCTCGCCCCCCCCTTGCTCACACCTGGTGTGCAATCTCCTGGACTTTCCGCAAGGTCTCCTCCGACTGCAGTTGCTCTAAGGTGAGCAGCGACAAGCCCAGCTGGTCCTCCTGGGGGGGGCGGAAGAGAGAGAGGGAAGCCCGGTGAGAGGGAAGGTGGCCAGCCGCCTCCCAGCGTGTTCTTGGCCAGGAAGGGGTCGGCCCCACTTCACGTCCTCACCCCACTGTACTCAGAAAAGGGAGCAGAACGCCCAGGAAGCGCCAGCAGTCAGGGGCCATAAGCGGAACAGCGCGGGTCAGCCCCCCACCCCCTCGATGGCTCTCGCTGCAGGAAACCTTTCACCGTGGAGACTAGGCTGAGCTTTCTGCGCGGGGTGCTGTGCAAGCAGACACCCCTCATCTCTGACTTAGAGCCACCAAGAGTCTCTTACGGCACCTTAAAGCGTTGAGTTGTTTTGCGTGTCATGAGCTTCGGTGCATGGCGACCAACCTCTGCTTTTGGGGGCATCTGTAGCCTACCAAACCTTCTGACAAATAAAATGTGCTGCTCTTTATGCCCCCCCCCCGGACTGCTGCTTTTGAAAAAACAGAATAACGTGGTTCCCCGTGTGAAAACACCCCTGATTTAGTCGTCTCCTGCGGCGTCTCTCGCTTCCAGGATGCCAAGACGGCTTTGCCTGGGCGATGGGGGCACAAAGTAGTTCAGGGGCACAAAACCCACACAGGTCCCCGTCGGACCCAGGGTGGTGGGGGGCTGTGCTTTTCCTTGGATCGGCAACCTTCCTATTGGGGTGGGATCCTGCAACCTTCATGTGTGTGTGTGTGTGGGGGGGACAGGGGAGAGAAGAGTACTCTGTGACTGACAAGAGGTGGGGAAAAGAGTGACAACCACTGATGCTGGGGAGGGAAAAGAGGGCGGAAGGAATGTTCGGAGCCAGACCGCCTGGGTGGGTTTTCTGAGTTCCTGCACCTTTGCTGAGCAGGGAATGAGCCTCCCGCCACCCGCCCCACCGCAAGGCTGTTGGGGGGCCATTGGGGGAACCAGACCCCACGGCGCTGGGGCTGCTGGCTGAAGCCGCCCGCCCTTCTGCAGGGCCTCTCTCGCGCTCGGCCGCTCACCTTTCGGAAGGGCTGGGCCATCTGGCGCAGGAAGTACTTGGCCACCTGCACGGCCTCGTCCACGGTCAAGTTGAGGTTGGCGTCGGTGAGGTGCTCCTGGATCCATCGTGGGAGCTTGCCCCGCTTGTCGGCTCGGGCAAAACGCTGCCAGGAATCACAGGATCAGCGGGGCAAGCGGGGAGGGAGCCAAAAGCTGGAAAAAAAACCCAACCACCCACCCCACACGGCTGCTGCTGGCTTCACCGGGCAGCGCGCCCTCCCTGACCCACCTTGTCCGCAAAGACCATCAGCCCGTAGTCGGTCTTGCCACGGATCGCCCGGCCCACACACTGGGCCGCGTGGCGCATGGCGTCAAAGGTGAGGAAGTCGTTCTCCCGGATTTGGAACTGGTCCCTCAAGTACTCCAGCCGGGCCTGCGAAAAAGGCACTCAGCCAGGCCATGCTCCTTGGGGTGGGGGGCGGGCGGGGGCGAGATTCCAGGCAAGGGAAAAGGAAGGGTCGTGGCGGGCCCCCACCCGGAGGTTTCCCTCCCCACCAGTTTTTCACTCCAGGCATTTAGCCAACACCAGACACCCTAGGTGAGCACACAGTCGTGGGCACAGCGCTCGCCACTCCAGGGTGCCTCTCTCTTGCGAGTAGACTGCCTCTGCAGAAGGAGGCTCTACATAGTTTGGCCTCTACAAAAGTCACGTCAGCTCCCGAGGCGGGCCCCCACCCGGAGGTTTCCCTCCCCACCAGTTTTTCACTCCAGGCATTTAGCCAACACCAGACACCCTAGGTGAGCACACAGTCGTGGGCACAGCGCTCGCCACTCCAGGGTGCCTCTCTCTTGCGAGTAGACTGCCTCTGCAGAAGGAGGCTCTACATAGTTTGGCCTCTACAAAAGTCACGTCAGCTCCCGACTTCCCTTGCACCCCAACGGGCACTGAATGCTGCCACTCAGTCATCGCGTGGTGGTGGTGGGGGACTGGGCGCTCGATGGCATTTCATTTCCTTCCACCGGGCCTGCCCGCCTCCAGTTCCCTAATCCTCAAAGGGGATTAAGGCAGCCAATTCACATCCCAGGCTCAGGGCTGATGAAGATCTGCCACCAGGCGAAGCAGCTGGCAGCCGAGCGCGTCTCCGTTCTGCTCAAGCCTGCCTCCAGCTAAGTGTCAGGGCCTCAGCAGAGAACGCTCGCCCAGCCGGGAACAAATGGAAATTTCAGCTTCTCTGCCAGAAGCGTTTTCAATCAACTGCGGGCGCCAGAGTGCATTCCCTCCCCCTCGGCCGCATGGCAACGTCCCCCGTGTGCAGCGGGGAAAGGAGGAAGCCGGCTGGGTGGGGGACCCACGCTTCCATGTGCACCCAGGGAGAGCCATTCCCCACGAGAGGCCAGGTCTGTTTTGCCAGCAGAGCCCTCAGGGAGAACGGCACCGGCTCCGAGAGGAGAGGCTTCTCTGCTGGGAAGAATTTGCACAGAGCCAAGGGCCTGAGGGAAGAAGAAAGGAGGCTGGGCCCGGGTGCGAGAGGAGCATAACTCACCTTCAGGATGCGACTCTGGGTGTAGACGTAAGGGACGCCGAACATGATCACGGCTCTCCCGTAGTGGTGGACTGTGGGCCAGAAAGGGCAGAATTGTGCACGTTGGTGGGGAAAGCAGGAAATCAAACCAGCATTCCATCATCCTCCCTACCCTAAAAGATAAACTCTACAGCAATATTTTGCCTTATTTCAAAACATCTCCCGAGGGCAGCTTAGTATTGATTTTGGGACGTTAAAAGGAAGGAAACGTGCGGAAAACAACAGGGCCAGTCCCCTAACTGGAAGAGGAAGAGCACATCCGACTTCTCAAGCTGTGCAAGACGGGGCCTGCAAAGGGGAAGCTCCCAGAGCCAGGCTTCCACCATCATGTCACGCAAGAGGATAATACCGGCCTGCACAAAACAGTGCCATAAAAACCTATGAGAACATCACGCAACAGCAGGATGAGCGGCCGCTACCCCCAGATGTTCAGGGGGGGAACCACAGCCAGCAGTGAGGCTTCTAGTCCTCCCTTTTAAAGCTTCAAGGAGGGGCCTGGAAGGACATACAAACCCTTACCGAAGTCGATTCCCTCGGAGACTTTCCCCCTGGCCACAGACAGCAAAATGGCACCCCGCCCGTTCTCGCAGGCCTGCCATGAAAATGAGGGACCCTCGTTACCAACGTGGGTTGGGCCTCGTGGCCTTGTTTCTGGGCGTAGCGCTTGCATGCCCACGGCAAGGGGCTATTTCGGCCCCACTTTACCCTAAGGCTCACCCTCCCCCCCCCCACAAACACACTGTTCAAAAATGGAGTCAGGAAGTGTAAACAAGGGGACACGGATTTAGCAGAGCTCCAGAAACGTTTGCGTCAGGGCAGAGGCACCTCAGCAATCCAGATGGGCCACGGGGTTGGATGGCCAGGAAGGAGGGACCGAGCAGGCCTCTCCGGAAGCCCAGCGGTGGGGCCCCGCTCCGGGAGAGACGCCTCAAGGCGCCCGTGGCCTGCTTTGGTCCCAAATCTGTGGGGCCGACTCGAGGTTGGGCTCCTGGGATGCCGGCTCACCTCCTGGTATTTCTCCAGCGCCATGCTGGTCTCGGCGCCATCCTGCGTCTCTATGAAGATGAGTTTATTCCGCTGGATGTTCTCCAAGATGCCCTGGGAGGCCAGAGGGGGAAAAGAGTCACAGCAAGAGGAAAGGGAGATCCATCCAGGCCAGGCTACGCCGGCTGCAGAAGCCTGGCACCCGGACGGCTGAGGTCTCAAAGCACGGAGGCCTCCGGCCGACTCGGCGAGACTTTGCAGCAAACAGACGGGAGCAGAGGAAGCGCCCCATCCACCCAGGGGGCCAAAATGAGAGCACCCGCTGACTCTCGGCCGCCCTCCTCACTGGAGCACCAGACGCTCGAAGGTTATAACTGGGAAGCCACGGCATCATCGCTCCGCTTGGGGCATCCTTCCAGTCTGCTCCTTCTTTCCACACATTCAGATTTCTGATGCACATCTTTCTGAGCTACCTCCAAAGGAAAAGCACCTTTAAAAGACCCCTGAAGCTGAACTGGATCCGACCCGTCTGGCCAGAATCCTGTATCCTGGAGCGGTAAGGCCATGAAGGCAACAGTTCACTCATGCTACTACTTCCCAACAAATGGAAACCGATAGACTGCCTCTAAACATGGAGGTTCTATTTGGCTACCATGACCCGCTACAGCTATAGGGAGGCATTTTTATCCCACCAGAAAGCTGCCCAGTCTCTTTTTAAAGCCACTTCGGCCAGTGGCCACTATTGCTGCTTTTTGCGGCACCCAGTTCAAACAGAGGAAAAAGGCAAACACTCCCTGGTGTTGCACTTAAAACCGTTTGTTTACAACGTTCTGTCGGGAGGCTCCCCCCCAAACGCACATGGAAAGAGAAGAGAGACACCAAGAGACGAACTGCTTGTCGAAAAGGCCCCGTCCTCCAGCAAAGGGCTCATCGTCCGGCCATCTCCCCCAAACACCCACCTGCTCATACCAGGAGGCCACGATGTTCTCCATATACTGGTA